TTTGATGTAATATAATTATTAAACAACTGCAATTAATTGACTTATTGTGGCTGTACTACTAAACAATTAATTAAGTTCAAAAAATTGCAATTAATTGCCTCAAAACCAATTATTCAGTAGGCCTGGCTAGAAGTTTATTATTACCTTCATAAAATGGGTTTAAAAAATCACAAATAACCTTGGCCTTTCTCCAATCTTCATTAGAAAGCATAATTTGCTCAAAGTTAATATCCCATAACACAAGACAGTCAAATATATTTTTATATAGAATAGTTGATACCAGCATCAAATATACAGAATTTCAGCAGATGGGAACATCTAGAGTTGAATGCTGGTTTGATGCAAGTTCGATACTCCCAACTACAGCATCTTTAAAGTTTTGTTGCCAGGATTGTAAACTATGAACCCACTTTGCACATTCTTGAATTTTATTTATAATACTTTTAACTGTCTTGAAACCATCACTAACTATAAGATTCAATATGTGAATGCAGCAATGTTAATGTAATAAACTTCCATCAGCAATGAGCATGTTTTGTTCATCAAGCATATCTCTTATATTTTTTATTGCAGCATTATTGTTAGTGGCATTATCTACAGTAATTGATAATACTCTTGATGCAATATTCCAATCATGAAAACAACTAAAAAGTGTTTTACTAATGGCAATTCCTGTATGAGATGAAGGAACTATTTTGAATGATAAAATTAGTTTTTGAAGTTCCCAATCCTTATCAATAAAATAACATGTAAGGGCCATGTAACCAAGATTTTGGTTTGACATCCACATATCAGTCATATAGCTTAAATGCCCAAATGCTTCTTGGATTAATATATGGGCCTTAATTTAAAATTTTCTACAATATCATTACAATCTTTACGCACTGTTTTTTTACTTATTAACTTAAATTCTGGCTACAAATTATTAACAAATATTATGAACCCTTTATCTTCTACCATACTAAACAGATACGAATATTAAATGATTATTTTTGACAGATTTTTATGACTCCTTTCCTGAGAAAATTTATATGTAACAAGACATGCTGCGAATAGTTGTAGAAGTTGTTGAGATTTATTAATTTTAATATATTTTTTACATTTTGTGTTTTTCATATAACGAATTAAGAAGCTTGTTTCTGTCAAGTTATCATGTTTTAAAACACTTTTACAATATATATACTAAATATGGTTTACTGGAATATTATCTAAACAGTATAAAAGTTAACTAATTAATGTAATTAACAACAATAATTCAGCATACATAAAGCAAAATTTATACTTTTCTGAGGATCGTGTTTAATAAAATGACTATCTTTAAACATCCATAATTCTGACTTGTCTCTTTTATGTTTTTTATTAATAGAAACTACTTCAGAACTTTTATTAGCAGTTGTTTTAGTGCCTTCATTGGCTGTAGTAGTTTCAAGAGTTTCATAAATAGGACCTTCATTCTCATTTTTGCTAATAATGTGAACATTTTTACTAATGGCAGTATGAATATTTTCACTAATAGAAGAGTTAATAATTTGTACTTCTAATCATAATAGATGAAATTTCATATTTTAATAAGTTTAATTAAAATATGAGTACTGTAGATGAGACTGTAATTTCTTAAGTATATGTACCAGAATTCATTTCTCTTAGTGTAATAGTTTAATTCAAATGTACAATAAAAATAAGTAAAAAAATAAAAAAAGAATCAATCTTAATTTAACTGTTATGGAGTGACTTATAGTGTATAAATATAAAGCAAAGAAGATGCTAAGCAATTTGCCAGAATGCAACTAAGATGATTTAGCAAATCTTAAAAGGTTTATTTTAAGATAATTGTTTTATTAACTTTATTAATTATTAACCCATATAATCTTATTCTTTTACAAAGGTAAAATTATAGCACTTTTATACTTAACAACATCAAGGGGCTTTTTAGATTAAGGAAAATAATTCTTTTATAGTCAAAGCAAAATTAAGGAATGGCCAAAGCAAAATTAAGAAAAGAAAATGACTCTTTTATTATCAAATTAAAATTAAGAAAAGAGCTTTTTAAATTAAAGCAAATTACCTCTTTTATGGCCAAAGCGAAATTAATAAAAGAGCTTTTTAGATTAAGGAAAATGATTCTTTTATGGCCAAAGTGAAATTAAGAAAAGAGTTTTTTAGATTAAGAGAAATGACTTTTTTATGGCCAAAGCAAAATTAAGAATAGGGCATTTTAGTTTAGAAGAATGATTCTTTTATGATCAAAACAAAATTAAGAAAATAACTCTTTTTATGATTAAATCAAAATTAAGAAAAGAACTTTTTAAATTAAGACAAATTACTCCTTTTATAGCCAATGCAAAATTAATAAAAGGGCTTTTTAGATTAAGGAAAATAACTTTTTTATAGCCAAAGTGAAATTAAGAAAAGGGTTTTTTAGATTAAGAGAAATAGCTCTTTTATAACTAAAATGAAATTAAAAAAAGGGCTTTTTAAGAATTAACTGCTATTGTTATAACTCATAATGCAAATTCACTTTAATTTTTTCCCTTTTACCTGAGCCTTTCACTTGTCTTATACAAATTTATTTTAATTTTTTCCCTTTTACCTGAGTCTTTTATTTGTCTTCTCAACACACTACCTGTATTATGACTCATTTTTCATGTCATATTAGTCATTTATCATCACACTATGAGTCATAATATATAGTATACAGTCTTGATTATAGAGCCCTAGTTATAGATTCATGAAATCTTTAGCATAGTAATTATTTATTTTCAGAAATATCACTTTACTTCATGATAATACTTCTTTTCCTTATTAATAATATTATATACACATATATATTTCATTCTTTCTCTTTTCTATATAGTTTATTTATTTTTTTTAATATATATATACATTCTTTTAAAATTACACACTTGTCTGACTTCTGTGGGTTTTTAATAGCAAACAACAAGGGTGGATTTTGTTACATATATATTATCTCGAATTCTGTTACATGCACATTTTTCATACATATAAAATTTACATATACAACTCTAGATATAAGAAGATTTTATAAGTCCTAATTGAAAATTTTATAATAAAAAGCTTTTAATATAAGAAAACTTTGATATAACAAAGATTTTGGCAGAATCAGTGATTTTTGTATATTAGAAGTTCACTATATTTATTAATGTTTTATTACTTTGCATGCAATATACTATCATTGATCTGGATATTGATATTTGTATAACTGTGACAAACTTTGAAGGCAACTAACTGTATAGTAAATAAATATAAAGAGATCTCTCTAAATGCACCCTCTTGGAAGTATAGTAAAAATTCTAAAAATATGTACTTAGAGAGGTTGCACATTTATAGAGAGAAAAATATATAATGCAATTTTAAGCTAGGACTAGACTACACCATGCATTTAGAGAGATTTTACATAAAGAGTGTATTTATAAAGAGTGCATGTGCATTTAAAATGGTCTTTCTGTATATAAATACGCTACTTATTTTTTTTTTGATTTATTTATTTATTGGCCCAACTAATTTGCAGTTAATAAGAAAATCTACCTAGTATCGCAAGCAAAATTGATATTTATATAATATACTTGCTTAAAACTTGATCAAAAGAAATAATTCAATAAACTTTTTATTTATTTGAACTATTCGAACAATTGATTTGGTCATTGTTGGTATTGAAATATGTTCGTGTTCAAATTCAAAGTATTTTTAAAGAATGTAACATTCTACTAATAAAAAAACACTTGTAAAAAAATAGATTGTAAACATGACTTGTACAACTATCATAATTCATGTGAACATAAATAAGTAAAAGACAAATAATGCAATAATAATATAATAACTTAGCACAGAATATAAGAAATATAGTAATTATTAAATAGTATTAGTAGAATAATTCAAATTAATATAGAACCAAAAATTCTGTAAGAAATAATAACTTTTCGCTCAATAACCAACTAACTGATAAATAAAAAAATACTTGCTTTGAGAGAATATCATGTTATAGTACTAGAGATATTGTTTATCATTTTAGCAAACTGTCAATGTTTAATATGCAAAGAAACATTGTTCAAAATATAAAAAATAAGTATACTATTTTCTTGGATATTAAATTATACTTCAAAATATTTTTTATACTAATTAATACTTTAAATTATAGTAGAAAAGCCTGATTTTACATCATAACAAATTTATGAAATATCCCAAAATTTGAAAAATTTGACTACTAATAAAACAATAATGAATTTTGGCTAAAATAACTACTATTCCTAAGTAAGGATGTGTCACTATAAGAAATTCTATGTCTAATAAGATACGTCAAAGGTGAAAAAGATGGGTTAGCATGTGGAGAAGATTAGTTAGACACATTATCAATTAAGATCAAAGTTCAAAAACTTTTTTAGAGTTTAATATTGATTTATTAATATGTAATTCAATAACTAAAATTTACAATTGGACCAAATACTCAGATTTAGTAACCAAATTTTAGCTTAAATTTCATAAATTCACTACAATGAATAGTTAAATATTTGTATATAGTATGCTTGAATAGCA